ACACACACACACACACACTGACTCACACACACACACACACACACACACACTGACTCACACACACACTGACTCACCTTCGGCGCTGTGGCGTTTCTCCCTGACGTGCTCCTGAGCGGCCGTCACAATCTGCCGCAGCAAATCCAACACAGCGAGCTGAACGGACACCGACTCTCTGGTCACCATCAGCCTGTGGAGGACGCTGAGTAGCTCCACACTCAGAGCCTACAGACAGACAGACAGACAGACAGACAGAAACACAGACAGACAGACAGAGAGACAGACAGTGTTCAGTTTTTGGTGATTTAAGAAAACCAGCATCCAGTCTGAAGACAAAAAGAGGTCTTCGGGTCCTTCTGTCTGTCCAAGTCTTTGTTCTCTCTGGATCTCTGGAATCTGGTCCGGGTTCCAGCCTGGATCTGGTCTTTGTCCTGATTCTGGGCTGATATTGAGCCTGGATTCTAGTCTGATCTGGATTCTGTTGTGGCCTTGGTTGTGATCTGAACTCTAGCCTGGATTCTATCCTGAATTATCTGTCTGGATTCAGGTCCAGGTGTGTCTCACCTGGTCGTTTCCGATCTTAGCTCGGGGCCAGGAGACGTCGAGCAGCGCCTGCAGGGCTCGCAGACAGGAAGTGATGTTCTCCATCTGGTCCTCAGAGTGCGGAGAACACAGGAACTCCACACTGATCCCTGAGGAACACCCACCAAACTCAATACAAATAAATCATCAATCATACGACTGAATTCACTTTGTGGGTTTCGTATTTGAAAACCAACCCAGGATGAGATGCAGTCTGTCGCTGTTGATGTCCTCGGGACTCTTGGCTCCGCCCACAGAGCCGGTGTGTCCCATGGAGGTGGGCGTTGCTGGTCTGGACAGGTTGGCAGGTGAGTCGTCTGACATCACAAAACCTGCAACACACCCATCAAACAGAAGAGCAGTGAGGAGGAGGAGCAGTGAGGAAGAGGAGCAGTGAGGAGAGTGGAGGATTACTGACCGGTGCTGTGGAGCCAGAGGGAGGTGGCGTGGAGGATAGGAGCCCAGGAGGAGGAGTAATGAGCTCTGGCCTGTTTCACAGTCTCCGCTGTGTAGAAAGAACCTCCTGCAGGAGGAAGAGGAGGAGAAGCGAACGTTTAGAATCATAAAATATTCTCACTGTCTCTGTAGATTTTATGTGACTTCATCCAGTGAAAAGACTCCTGGAATAAGAACTCTTCTCCTCCCTCCTCGCCTCCTCCTACCTGTTGCCGGTAGCTGGGAGGCGTACTCCTGCGGGAGGGTGAGCAGGGCGTAGTCCTGCAGCGCCGCCAACCACAGACGGCTCAGTGTCGACAGATCTGATTGGACCAACTTCAGAAGGCCTCCCGACTCGGAGCCGCAGCCGAGGGAGGAGACTGACGGGTCGGAGTTCTCCTTCTGTCTGCTCCTCTGGACGGCTACAATGTAAACCTGAGAGAGGAGGAGGAGCAAGGTTAGGTTTAATATTTTCAAGACCTATGATGTTTATGAACGTAATTTAACAAATATTTTACCTCCATGCCGTAGAAAGGATATGAAGGAAATTAGGATGAACCAGTTTAACTTTCCTGTATAAATTATTAATCGACAATAAATAAATAAAGAGTGAAACCAGTGATCAACCTCGGCCCAGGCCTTGAGGACGGCCAGTGTCTCCATTGTAGCCGTGGCCTCGTTGTACAGCTGGCTGGACGTGTCCCTCCCCGACTGCACTTTGGCCAACGAGGAGGCCAGGAGCTGATGGACACGCCGCAGGTCGCGGAGGTCACTGACCACGCCGCTGGCGATCCAGGCGCTGCAGACCTGCACGATGACGGGAGAGTGAGTTCAGACATTCACCTTCAGCCAATCGGATTCTTAGTCCGGATGTTTGGGTACCTGGGTACCGCCTCTGCATCTCTACAACACTTCATTATGAAGCTTCTGTCACATGTTTTAACTTTATCAGATAAACTGCAGCTTCTGTGATTTCAATAATAATTCAATTAATTGTGCAGCCTGTCAGGATTATTCTAATGATTATTGATTGATTACCTGGCAGGCCTTGGCGGTGACGTCAGGAGGAGCATCAGCAGTGAAGGCTGGTCTGAGAGCAGCTCCGACCTGCACACACACACACACACACACTTTAATAATCAGCTGCACTCTCAGTATTTTCTCTGTATTGTATCACAGTAAAATCTCACTCAGTATTCTCACAGCTACTGTATTCTATAAATGCTCCTTACGTTAGCCTGGTACTGCTCCAGGATCACGTGACCGGGGAACTCCGGTTCGGGGATGGCTGAGAAGCGTCTGATGATCACCAGCAGAGTCTGGAGACCTGCCAACCGCAGCTGGTCGCTGTGGTCTGTCGCCGCCATAAAGGCCATGCGCACCAGGTCGCCGAGATGGAGGACGAGGAAATCTGCGGTGAGTCAAGTGAGGAGGTCAGTGAGGTCTGAGGTTTCCACAAGCACCAACTGACGGAGGCCACTGTAGGGGTCTTACCGGTGGACTCGTGCAGGCGTCGCTCCTGAGCCAGGGCCATGTCGAAGTGAGCCGGGTCTGCGGTCTCACACTGGGCAACGATGCGACACACACACTCCATGGCAAAGCGGCGCGTGGCCCAGCGCAGGGCGGTGAACGGCCCGCCGGACTCTGACCGAGCTCTGAAAGCAGAGGAGTCGTCGTCTCTGGCGGGGTCCGCCTCCTCGTCCTCCTGACTCGCTTCAACTGGCGCCCGACAGTCTGAAGGAGAGTCAGAGTTCATGAGTCACATCCTTTCACCAGAAGCTTTAAACTGATCGATTTCCTTTGGTAAAAACACTAAGACATTTTAAAGATCGGAAACAACAACACAACAACAAACGTTTTTCAGAATTTTTTACCTCCTTTTTAGAGACATTTTAATAAATAAAGAACATAATTTAAAATTAAATATTGAAGAATATTTTGAAAAGTTGGTTGTAATATTGTATTGTAAAATTTGTTAATGATGTGTTTTATATTTTAAGAACATGTGCTGCTGTTCTTTAGTGTATCTATGGTGATTTATATATAGTCCGGGACGTCCTTTGTCTGTCCAACAGCGTGGGAGAAGCAGTGATTTTTAAG